CCAATAAAGAACACGTTCTTAAGAAGGTATACTTCTGTATATGATTTCTTCAAACCATGTATAGGTTACGACATTTAAAAAATTTTGAACGAATCTGTGTTATAAATTGGCTATATTTAATATTGCGTAATTTTATCTTACTCGATTTGAATAAAAAAGGAAGGAAAGATTTACGTCTTTGTGTGATGACAGACGTATAGCTCGAGTACATGTATGTAATATCTACTTTAATCATTTACTTTACTATATCACACAATATATCAACAATAAACAGATAGCTTGTTGTTGGAGTTATTTAGAAATGTTTTCGCAGAAACATAAACAATATGTAATTTCTAAAGCGCTGGAAGCCATTTCCGCTGTAAATGGAACTCTTTGTAAAGCAGCTTATGCACATGACATCTGTTATCAATTCAGACAAAGCCAATGGTGCCCTCGCTACATCTCACATTTTTGTTCGATAAATTGTTTGTTATTTTAACTTTAAACATCAAGAAAATTAAAGTATTTAAAAAATGTTACCCATAATATTAACGATGCTTATTGAGAAATTATCGGTCAATTATGATCACGTATCACGATGAATTTACAAATAATCCGAGTTAATTCTACATGTAACCAGCCAATCAGAGTTTGCAAAACCGTTGCATTGACGTCTAACTAATTTGCATTTCAAACCCTGCCATTCCAATTTATATTAAAACTACAAATTGATTTAATTAACCATGATATTGGTTTAATAAATTGTACATAATTACATGTTCATAAAACGATAACATTCAGCCAGATAATAAATGTTTGTTACTAAAAAAATGTCAACAACAAAAATTCTTCTTTCAATTAAGAAAACAAACGAGTCCTATTTAGTATTCATGTCTTGTTATATAAATACTAAACTAAATTTAGAATTAAAATAAACCGGTGTAGATTTAACTTGAACGTTTGTCCGTTTATATACACAACCCGCAATTATACGAAAAGTTTAAATGCAACATTTATTAATGTATAACGCCACTGATGTAATTATTTTTTTCTTATTCTGCTTACGTCTTATTTTAAATTATTCATCATTAAAATTGTTGGTTAGCCTCTTGGTTTATTCAAATTCACTTAGATAATATTTTGATTGGTGTTGATGCGGTTTTAATTTCAATTCATATACATAATTATCTATTTGATATCGTTTCTAAATTCTTAGAAATGCGATAATAAAAAAAAATGCAAATTAATGAAATAATCTGTTTTTTTGTAAAGATTTTTATTGTATTTATAAGTGAGGAGAACGTTTATGGCTTCATAAAAGTTTATGATGTAATCCGATGTAGCTCAATATGGAAATATTGAAAATATAGTAAGTTAAATCTTTTTTTTTTAATTATTTTGAACTTACATCCTGGTCTGGATATAAATAAATCAGCTGAACGTAACTTTCAGTCTGTTGAGTGTTCAGGCCAAAAGATATTTTTGGCAAATTTCTTTAAGGTGAATGTCACGAACTTTTTATTATTAAACATTTAATATAATAGTAATTTTCTCCGCATTATTATTTTTATACAGAAAATTATTTTTTTTGTCGAAAAAATAAAATGGGATTTAGATCTATCTGCTAATGTTGCTATCGTTTTTACATTTTGCCATAACTTTATAACTATGAATTCACAATAGGACTCACAAACTGGATTTTCTAGAGAATATCTAATCAACAGAGAACATCTCTAACTGGCTTTTCTAATCGAAGTTTATTTATTGAGTATTATTAGTAAGTTGAAATCTAAGTATTTCTGTCCTCTGGGTATTAAGCCCAATTCTTTAAGATCTGTGTTCAGGTAAGCAATTATCCCTGTATCATCTGCCAATTGAGAAACCTTAGTTTTCGCCATGGTTGCCAGATATCAGATATATTCTCTTTGCGCAAGAAACCATTTCTGCCATTTACACTTGGTGGTATTTCCAAGTACCTGACCAAAGAAGGGGGAATAACATCCCTGTCTGCGGTTAACCACTTCCCGGCCTTAAGCGTATCGTGTCACCGTGGAGTGAACTATTCTGTTATTAAGCATATAGTGGGTGGTATAGGTGATTCCATTTCCCTGCCAAGAGAGTTCTTTCAAAAAAATGTGGTATTGCGTTGTTCAACTTGTATATCCAGAAACACATATGCAGAAATCGAGTATTACTACTAAGTTAAAATCCTGAATTTGTTTGAGTTTCATTCCTTTATTTTCAATTTAAGAAATAATTTTATTATGTATTTTGTTTTCCATATCTATTCTTAACGTAAGATAAACCTAAATTATGCGTTTCAAAATTTAAAACAAAATGTATCATTTCACGTCCACTTTTATGAGCAAATATCTAGAACGACTTTCCAGTTTTTATAATCATATCATTACTCATTCTCAGGTATGCAATTTCCTTCTTCATCTAAACCCACTTTGAAATATTTTTGCGTAAGCCCAATTCTTTAACTTCTGTGTTCAGGTAAGCCATTGTCCCTGTATCATCTGCAAATTGAGAAACCTCAGTTTTCGCCGTGGTTGCCATATATCAAATATATTCTTTTTGCGCAAGAAACCATTTCTGCCATTTTCACTTGGAAGTACCTTTATTATGAAGAAAGTCGTTGTTATCATCAAGTTTCCTTCAAGGTTGATGCATTAATTCCGGGTTATGGGATTGTTAACACCATCGCCGTTTTCCATTAGCGCGTGAATAACTTCCATTTTATTACTCTACAAATTATCTACGTGATTTTTAATATTACTTTTCAAGCATATTTTTAGCGTTTTCTGTTTATCTCTTCCACCGTTTTTTCGAATTCTTCTGGATTTCCAGCAAAGATATGCTTCAGCGCCGTGTTGACTCTCTCTTGAATCTTTTCATTAGTTTAAGAGCCAATACGTTTCCAACAACTGTGTCACCGAAAAAACATGTATCTACAGGAATCTTGAATAACGTCTCGTGCACTTCCAGGAATTTTCTCTACTCTATTTTTGCAGCTACAGTTGATTGATCTTTTCCATGGATAAACCTAGTTTGTTTTCCACTGTTGACCGGAGGAACTTGACCTTTACTTCTTTTATGGTTTAATTAATTATCCAAATAAGTCTTTGAACTTGAGTTTTCTGGGCGTTGGAGTTACCAGCCCGGCTTGGGGGTCTTCAAGTTTCTGGGCATTGGAGTTACCAGCCTGGCTTGAGGCAAGGCGAAGAATGGCAGCCTATCGGATGCCATTCGAACATCTTTCACTCCTCCAAATAAACATACACATGGCCGAAGTAAACCGTGAGGATGTACAATGAGACCGCTGGGGCCTAAGTGCTTTGGTTATACCACCTGTGGTTTAACCAACCTCACTTGAAACTACATACACAAGTCTTTGAACATTTATGGTCTGTTTTTTCTCAATTTCCTTAACACTGCTCGCTCCTGCCATGATCTCCGTAATCACTAGAAAATGGTCTTCATGTTGTATTTCAAGTCTTAGTCTTTTAATTCTATTCGTTATAATCCTGTTTTTAGGCAGCCCATTAGCATCATTCATCGTAACGTATAGAAATTAATCATTTGCCGAATTTCTTGTTTGCAGGTAGGCTGTTAACATAATTTCTAAAGCATTTACAGAGTTAATGTAAAATATAAATCCAATAATTAAACACACAGTTATATTTATGCTATATCATTTTCTTAATCAGCTTCTTAATCACTTAATCTATCTAGTTTCTGATCTGTTTATGAATACATTTTTCTACATTATCTGTAATTATTATCTGTAATTCAAGAATAATAAAAATCTTGAAAATTGTATATCATATTTTCATGTGATACTTGACTAGAACCTATAAATTTTGAAGTAATTTGGTAGAATAGTTATAAGCAAACAAACAAGCAGATATCTATTTACACTAATATTTAAAGCTAGCTCAATTCGGACTTGTTCCAAATTTGTTTTCAATTCAAATATCTCTAAAAGGATGGTGCTAGCAAATTAAAGGACCTTGTAGCCTGGACTGCGTCAGGTAAACCCAGAATTAGATTTAATCCGTAAATGGCTTATTTTATAACGCTGAAAATTGGTTCAAATAAATTTTTTTATAGGTTTATGATAATTTCGTATTTGAACCTCTATCGGTTTCGGAAGTACTTCCAAACATCTTCGGGTGATTACTGAAAGTTTTTTATAAGTTACATTCATTAATGTAAATGACATAAAGCAAAAGTAATTAGATTCATTCATCAGTATGAAATCAGGAAAAAAAGAAAATTTTTTATGCGTCCTTAGTAGATATTAATGAAAAATGACAGTATATTCAAATTTATATAATAATGTGAAATGGTTGGATAATGCTGATTTGGGACAATAGACATAATTAATGAAAGGAAAGAAAGGAAAAAGTGTTGAAGGGAAATATTTAAACTAATTTAAAGGGTTGAGGGTGCTAACCAAAAGATCCAAAATTGCGCTAACAATTAATTGTCATCACAATTAAGCTCCCTCTCCGCCTGTTTTTCTAGGAAAACTTTTTCCTGTTTCTTGTTCAAGTAATGGTGTAATTTGTTTTCGTATAAAATAGCACACCTCACGGTTTAGTATTTTATGAATTATTAAGAAACAGTTTTATATACATATTCAAGATTAAACTCCTCCTCAATCACATGGAATATTTAACGCACAAACTCAAGTACAAAGTTCTCCGCCATTAAGTTATGATTAATCATTTATTAAAATCTTTAGCAACTCTAACGTACAAGTACAAATTGAAGTTGAATGTTACCTTTAAATTTAGTAATTCAGCAACTTTTACAAAAGCTATCCTTATAAAAGGAACAACTGAAACTACTGCCACTTTGAGCTACCTAGAAATGTAATACAACGAGGTTTTTACAGCTTATTTATGATGGTTATTCGCTGCACCTGGTGGCAACCTCGACCTGTTTCCTGAAACAACGAGAAATATTGTTATTGTAACGTCTTAACGTTTTATTTTATTTCTTTTTAGGGCCACAACTTCGGGGTGGTCTTTGAAACAATGAGAGTAACAGAATTATCCAGTGAGATAACGCGCAGCCAGCATGAAGAAGTCCAAGTCGCAGACGAAAACGGTGAGTTAGAAGAGTTAATTAAATAATGCTGGTTTATTTTTCATTTTTTTTATCATTTTTGTTTCCTTTTTTTAACAGTTCTGCCTTTAAATTAAACGAAAATCTTGGATTTATTTAAATTAAAAGTAACTGATGATTGAAACGAAGTGTTTTTTTCATGATAATGGGTTTGTTTCAGGAGGAAAAACCTGCGTTAAAAATGGTTAGTTGTACATTAAAAAATTGTTTACTGTTTTGTTATTATTTTGTATTCGTAAATGTGTGCTTATTGTATGAATAGCTTATAATTTTTAGTTAGATTATAAGTTTAAATAAGTGCATTAAATATGTGGCAAAAAAGTTGAAAATTATGATTGCTTATGTATTTATCATTGAAAATTTATTTTGTTTGAAAGCTTTCAAAATAAAAGATTTCTTTGTTTAAATCATGAACATTTAAAACGGAAAATTGTAAAAGCGCTGTACTTGTAAATATCAATAAGGTTTGAACACATCGAAATAATCGAAGTTTATTGAACTGTAAGTACACAAACTGTTTCCGGGTGGTGTACTGAAAATATATATAAATTTTGGATCATAAAGTTTTTTTTTGTTGATTGTAAACGAAAATTACACACTGAACGCGAATATGCTGTTTGTTTTAAAACCCCAAAAGGGTTTCCACTTGGACAATATTGCGATTGTGTTCAATTTAAATAATATAGGTAAATTACAATTTATTTTAATACTTAAACTATTGTTTCGACTTTCACGATCACATTCTTATCTATACTAATGACAGTATCACTAACTACTCAGAATAGAAAAAAAATGGGTATGAACTAATAAGTTCTAGAAATAAGTTTGACAATATTGAGATAAACTGAGTTTGTAGAGGTAAAATTTATAATTATTAAGTAAAACATAAAATTGAGATATTGAGCTAAAATTTAGCACCACTATGTGATACATATCTACCGGAATATTGACTATTTTATGCACGATATTGTCGCTGAACTCCTCTAATGTTGTTGGCTTTTCGGCATAAATCAACGAATTAATGTAATCCTCTAAAAAGAAAACTAACTTGGCCTTGAATTGAGGTAGCCAACCATTTTTTGAAATTACACAGCTATTCAATTCTGAAAAGGTGGATTTAAAGGGCTAAAACCAGTCTTCCAATATGGCACGATTTAGCACTTTATTCTGGAATATTTGAATACATTTGATGTTCGAGTCACTGGCACAGCTCCAGAACTGGATGTTGTAGTATCATATTGGTTTCAGGATCTGATTGTAGATCAGAAGTTTGTTGGAGATTGAAAGTTTTGAGTTCCTCACAAGCAGTCAATAAAGCTGTCTATGGTTGAGTGCCTTTGCTTTTACGAAATTGGTAATCTGGGATTAGTTTCTATAATTGGCCTCAGTCTTTAAAGTAGTCTTTATCTAGTGATGAGGTCGAAACCCATAGCCATATCTTGATTGTTTTGCCCTGGGTTGGAGAAAAGATTTCAGGCAGATGTTCAGCAAACGGCGTTACTTTTTGCTTATTGTCTCCGGCCCATGATCCATTTGTTGTTTCTAATAGAAGGAACAAAGATCTCTTCATATGCTGACAGTTCTTCTAGTTCAAGGATTCTTGTTCAAGCTCTTCAATTTCTCTTTTGAGTTTTTGGGTCTTGTTGTTAAGTATAGTTTTTTTCTGACATGTTGCTCACTCGTTCTAAGAATAATGTTTAGGTTGACTTTGTTCTAAAGGTCAATGTGAAAACTTTTCCAGTCAGTAGATTTGTTAGTAAGAGTATCTCTGGCTGTCCTTTTTATTATCGCTTCACTTAAAAATAGTGCTGAGTGATCGGAGTACATGTCACAGTTCTCTTAAACTTCTATGAGCTTGGAAGATGCTTTCTCTATATTCATGTTAAGAGAAATATTTAAATGTAAAATCACTCGTTGAAATATTTTCATCATAAATACAAAGTGGACAAAAAAGTAGAATTAACATAGTAAATATAGAAACGTAGTAACATAGTAAAACATATTTATACTAATAAACTTACGTTTTGAAAATCCAGAAGCTACATTGTTATTTATTAATTTCTGTGATAATTGTCCAAAAAATACATGAACGTTATAGTGAATGTGTGTTGATGAAACGCTTGTGGCGTTTATAGGAAGATGTAAATTCAAAGTGTACATAACAGTTGTTGAGTTTACTTGGTTTAATTTAACAGCATCACAGTTGTTTTAATTACGGATGCTCGAACGCAATATGCATCGAATATATGCGCGGGTTAAGATAGCATCGGTATCGGGTTGAGAAAGGAGAGAAATTGCTGAGTAAATCAACTCAATTTCAATTTAACAGAACCAATTATAGGAATAAATAGATATATAATTGGTTTTCATCAATAACCATACACATACATTCTTTTATTTTCTTGTCACACAAATTTTCCACATAAAATATTTACACTGCTTTAGAAAAATTAACGTAAACTTTATCTTCTTTTTCTTTAATTGATAATACCTGTCCTGTGAAGTGTTCAACAGTTCTCGTTCTTTGACATTTTGTAATAACTCAAGTATTTTTATGTACATTTGTTGGTGCCATAAAATTGTATCCCAATAGAAAGATAATAGAAGATTCTTCATCTCCATAATGGTTTTCTATTGCTGAATGGTATTGAGTGAAGACGTCTGCTACCAAGATGTTAAAAGATCCAACATCTTGGTAGTGTGGACTGATACATAACTATTACGTTATGGTAATATTGCTTCAGTTATATATCGAAACTATCTCTAAATGTTAACCGTTCTGAAACGTGGCAGATTTAATTTTAAATTTACTTCTAGGAAAAGTAAATTTACGTGTGAAGTATTTCAATAAAATTTTCAAATTTTCAGAATCGCTCAAATTAAATTAGTTAAAACTGGGAAAATTACCAAAGTGCTATTATTTATTCCTTTGACAACTTTTTGGTAAATTGATATCTTTTGACAGCTGCTAACTTACAACGAGTACACGAATAAGGAGTAACACATTTTAATATAATTTGTTGTGTAATTAAAGTGATGAGATTTTGTTTAGGTAAAACCTTAAAACTAAACATAATCAATTAGGATTAAGTATGATACATTCTAGTTCGACATTATTTCTGCCGATATATTACTGTACATTTTAATAACATTAGCGTAGAGCTTTGTAAAACTTTTGATAACTCATTAATAAAAACGGCAAACAGCAGAGAATAGAATTAAGTTTTTGAATTACTTTTATCGTTTTTCTCTCTCTAGATCCTTGAGTCTGTTGCTCCTGATAAGTTGTGTCTCTGATATAGCTCCTGAGAACTTATCTTTTAGCTGATTCTCCATCTCCTTGGTGTTCTGGCTGATGGTCTGGTTTGAAGCGGGTTATTTGTAAGTACAATTTTCGGCAGCCTGTCATCTGGAATTCTACGAACGAAGTTCACAATGTTCTGTACCCTCATTAGTCTCTGATGCCAAGTTCTTAAATGATTCCCATCTGGGCTTTCCTTAGATTGTCCTCGGGTCTTCATTTCTGCTACACATAACATGCTCTTAGTTTTGTTTGTGTTTTCATGTATGTCAATGCCGTAAGACATTATTGGGCGGATGCAGGTTGTGCATATCTGCATTTTACTCTTCACACGTATGGATTTGTTCAACCAAACAGTGTCTGAGTAGGCAGTCTGAAATTGCAGATGCTGTTTACGGAAAAACCATAGTGTCTATTATTGAACGATCTTTTCTAAAGTGTTGTTATGAAGAATTTGTAATGAGATTTTCCAGTTTATTTTTTATTATTCTTGTAAACAACTTCATTGATGTGTTTAGAAGAGTTATTCCTTTGTAAAGCTGGATCAATCATTTAATGGATAAATGTGAGCAACACGTTTTACTACGTGTGATCTTCCTATATATATAATTGCTTTTCACGTCAAAATATCAGATAAAATATTGCAAAAATAGGCGAAGCAAATAATTACGAAGCATTCCCGAACATATTACATATAAAATGAGTTACAGAGTGAGACAGAAATAGTCAAAATGGAAAATCTCTGAACTGGAACTATTATTCATTAAAATATATTACGATAATTTAACCCATGCGTATCCAACGTTGCGGAAATTCGACACAAAAGAAAATGGAGTTACCATGTTATTAATAAAACTAAGGTTTTGAAAGAATTTTGAACCCAACAAAAATTTATATGAAATTTTCGTATTCTGAAAATGAAAGAGTATAATATTTTATAATGATTCATTCTTAACTAAGGAAAAGCTTTTTTGTATAAAAATAGAAGTCAATTTTCCTTTTTAGATACCATTTCCGTAATTACTTTTATCCATTTACTGAAATAAAACTCGTTTAAATAGAATGATATATGATTTTGTACGTAGTAATGAACCGATGTTTATTGATGTTATAAAAAACTAAGTCATTCTCATTTATTAGAACAACAAATTAAATTTACATTTTCCGTTGTACGGTTTGACCTAAGTTTTAAGCATTTTATTTGAAAGAGTTCAAGTTCTAAGCAATTTCTTTATCAAAAATTGTTGCACGGTTCACATATTACGAATGAGATATATTCGCAACGCGTTTCGTTAGATGTATTTCGTATTCCATCTACTTTTCAGGAAGTTAAAATCGTAAATTTCACGCTCTTCAGTTCTATAAGTTACTTCTCTTGTTGCGAAGAGGAGTTTCTAAACTTTCTACTCAAAAACATAAGATTAAAAGAATTTTTCATTTAAAAATTTTTATTATTTCAAATTCAAATATGTATAAGTAAAAAAGCAATAATTTGTTCTTTCTACTTAATAAATAACGGTAAAGAAAACGAGGATAAAATATTTGTATACCTTGGTCGTTGAATCTATATAGGAGATTACTGAGGTATTTCATTATTTAGTATTCGAGAATTCTATAGAGGAAGTTTTAAAATTAAAATACAGAAGCATCTCTATTTTAGAGATTTGGGGAGCTTTAACAACGTTTATTATTTTCTTGTTGTGAAACCATCAATTTTAATTCTACGAAAGTTCTCTTCAATTTACATTTCAATACAGAATCGGGAACGACCTCTAAATAATAATAATTTTATTTTGCAAAAAAACAAAGATTTGGTATAATCATCTCTGCAATATATCTTTTTCCTCAAAATTTATTAACCATATTAAATCTTGAGGTTTAGT